CATGTGCTCCAAGTCTGTGAATGCTGTAGCCCCATGTGAAAATGCCCTTGCGGGCTCCCTAACATCATAAATAAATTACAAATTCGCTTAGTGCTCTATCAACATTGGCTCGGACCAAAATAAGTGCTCCTCTAAGCAACTAAATCAATAGGAAACCGGAAGCCAAATAAGACCAGACCCCTTGCACTCAATTCTTATCGTTTCAGCTGGCATACTAAGCTGAGGCAGAGCTAAGCGTTTATGTTTCAGAATCTGATGGCCCCATTCGAAATCAGTCTACAATTTCCAGGAGCTCAATCCAAAAGCTGTCTTGTCGAGTGGATAAGTATATGGCTTCAAACATGTGGAACACCATATTGAACAGAACAAAACAGACAACACAAAGGAACATTTGTTGAGCGGTTTCCTTTCTGCCCTTAGCCTTGCGTTTGTTTTCGTACGATTTCTTTGGAGGGCACGCACCTTCTGGACACGCTGTAGATCGGTGTTGCTCCATTTTCAGACACACTCTGTACCAACCCTGCTCTTCTTGGCATTGCTGATTGGCTTTCCCGTTAACAGTCTTTCTACGCCCTATGGCTATGCTCTCCCAGTTTCTGATGTTGCTCCCTTGAGCTGTAATTTGAATTTCAAGTACAGAGCCAAAGCTCTTCGTTTCTATGCTGCTATATGTTCGCATGCTTGTCTGTTCCTGTCTGTCTGTGTCCGTCTGTGTGTACATACATACCTACATACCTATATACATACATATGTATGCATGTGTTTAGGTGTAAGTAGAGTGTCAGTGTGAATGGTTACAATGTGGCGAACGAATGAACGAACGGAAGTATAAATTGCACACTTGATACCTGCCCACCCCACCCAGCCTGCTACATCCTCCCGCACTCCACTCTTTTTTTCGCTCTGTTTTTTGTCCATGCTGTGCCATGTCTGGGGCTGTGGGGCTTTGTGGAACTGGCTGCGTGTCCGTGTGGCGGCGATTTTGTGTGTGTTTAATGCGCCCAAGTCGCATTTACAGTCAGCTGGGATTGATTGGAGGCATACTCTTGCTCCTCCCTCTGCCACTTCCACTGCGCCACCCACGGCTGCCCCACGCAGTAGGCTACATGTTCGTACCACCAGCATATGCTGGGGGTGTGTATGTAATGTAGTAGGGAAATGGTCTCGTTTTGTTGATTGTGAATTCCGGGATCGGTATGCGGCATGCGGCATGCGGCATGCGGCATGCGGCAATGGGCATGCGACATGCGGCATGGGCGTGTTGCTTAAATCATGTAAACGGCTCTGACATACCCCAATTCCCACCCCCCGTCAATTGCAACATATATGAAGTCCTCTCTGTCTCTGGACCAGTTTGTGCGTGTGTTTGTGGGGGGCTCATAAACTTAAGACGCGTCGCATCATACAAAATTAAACATTATTAAAAATTAATTAATCTGTCAGCGTGCAAACAATTATTATTCGAATTGGGCCGCCACAGAAACCATGTGGATCCCATCCGATCCCCTCCACGATTTCCGTTTCAGTATCTACTCCACTTAGCCTTCACAGTTGTTTGTTCAGGGACATGGCTCCCGCGCTACATACCCCTCGTCGTCGTCAGGCAGTGTGTGCAGCACCCACATCTATTTCATTTGATTAGGCCACACTTGTGTGCTGTATTTTTGGCCAATCATGCACACACACACACACTCATACACAGACGGAGTAAGAGATAATTAAATTACAACTAAAGCTTTTATGACATTTTGATTGTTGTTACCTCTAACAAAAACGCAAACTCTCACACACACACACACACAAACATGAAAAAAATACCATTTGTTGCTATTTGCCATGAATGGCCATGAGACGAAGAAATTATAGGGTGACCAATTGTTGCATTAGACTTCCAATCCCAATGCCAATGTCACTTCAGCTTTAAGCCCAACTTAGCTTTCAGATTGTGCCTTTCAGCTGCTCTGTAAGCTCGCCTTTTGAGGCTTATAACGGTACTTACTTGGCACGCAAGGCCAGCTGTCTGTCGCTGGGACAGACAAACTTGTTGGCCGTGTTATTGCGGTTCTGGAAATCCATTTTGTCACATTATATTCGGGTGATAATTTTTGCTTTGCTGGCTCTGGTTTGTGGTTTGCAATAATAATAATGCTCTCGAATAATGTGACACTCAATCAAAGTAAACAACGGGAATCATTGCCTCCGATAGGCGCGGCGCACTCACTCTCTCCCTCTCTATATCTATCTGCAGCGTTGTTATTGTTTGTCGCTGTTCTTTGTTATTTTGCGGCTCCGAACGAACGAAATTAAATAGCAACAGGAACGAAATGTAAAAGCTCCATGTGCGCGCTATCGCTGGTGTGCGTCGTCTGGTGCACAACAGCAGCGACAGCCGAAATTAAAGTTACAATCGCAGCCAGGAATGGGGCGATAGGAGCAGTCGCGATGCGAAAGTATCGAAAGAAGTTGCCTTACTCCTTGGCTCGATGCGTCCAGTGCCCACATCACTTGAACGCACAATATTGGTTTTTGTACTTTGGACACATTATGGAAGAGTCGATTTACGAGAGCTGTGTACAATCCATGTTTTAGGACATATCTGAGTTAAAATATAAATATGTAAACATATATATTGATCCAAGGTGTAGCGCCATTTCGAAAATGTCCACCCTGTCGCCCATTGAGCTATCAAAACTAGCAGAAACAAAGTGTAATATATATTACTTGAATCAACTCAACTATCGATATGTAGCTCATGTCTGTGTAAATATTCTATAAGGCTCAGCGATGGGTGCATATTCTATGCACAGCCATCTCTAGGAACATGCGCATTGCCACTCCGCCACCCGCTGACCCTTCGGCCTGTTGCACAGTGGAGTTAGCTATCGGCCATATGGCCACGCGCAGGAAGCTGTCAAAGTGGCGTGGTAGTGCGGAGCTGTAGTCGGTAGTTCTCGCGGGGGAGCCTTCTTCCGAAAGAGCTTTCGTAATATTTGCACACGAGCAGGCCTAAAGCAAAGCTCGGAAGGAAGGGAAAGGTTGAGGGGAACGGAATGTGGTAGCGAAGAAGTAAAGCCCTTGAGCACGAACAGACGCACACGTGCTCGTTCGCTCTCTCCCGTTCTCGCTGTCCTTGATTTATCTGCTCTCCCACCCTCTCCCACTCGCACTCCTACCGCCTAACCGCCTAATAATTGTATTGAATACTTTGGTGAGCCGACAGCAATGCCAGCCATGTAGGGGGTGGATCGAGTGGAAGGAGGGGCATTGGAAGGTTTTCCGACTTCACTCGCTTTTTATACCCGGTACTCGAACAGTATATTGTATTTGTGGGGAAAAGTGGATGTATGTAACACACAGAAGGAGACGTTTCCGACCCCATAAAGCATAGATCAGCTTCAATAGCCGAGTCGATAGAGCCCTGTCTGTCTGTCCGTCTTGTTTGATGGCTGGTTCTCAGAGACTATAAGAGCTATAGCCACCGAATTTTGCCTCCAGATTGCTCTATGCTCACACTGATACAAGTGATTCACTGATCTATTTTAAAAACTAGCCCATATCTATCAGATCACCGAATTGGAATTAATTTGCAGTGGGTAAAGTTCCACACGTTTCACACGTCCCTTCTCGTCCCTTTTTTTGTCCTATTGAATGTAGACAAAGAGTTTTCGGGAGCTGCGCCGGCTGTTTATCGGTGAACGCCACTGGTGGCAGAGAGTCAAGCGATTTCATTGCCGAACACGTCTCTTCATCTTTATCTCTGTCTGGCTTTACGAACCCACTGGCCCCGTGCATTCTGTCAAAATGTATGCACTCACAACCACCCACTCCCTCACCCTATTCTACCTTTGCCCTGAAGCTAAATCCTTGACCGTAAGCTACCCTCGTAGTAGGTGACCACTGTAGTGGTTTACCCCTTACAGAAGAGAAGCACACTAGTTGAGCAGTATTTAGAAGGTGGACGGAGGGGTCCATGCGTCCAATTTAAATAAATTCTGTCGACAGCTAAATGCAAATATTTCATGTCGTTGGCATTTTGCACGTACACTGCCATGTCCGAGTCCACTCTCTGCCACTGCCGCTCTGTATTCACAAGCCGTTTTAACCGAGTGTTGACACTCTACCGTTAGCCGCTGGCAGTTGTCTCGCTGTTTTCCTATCCCCTTGTCATTCACTTTCAGAAGGTTATACGACTTCTACCAGATGTTTTGAACTTGGAGAATGTATTATAGTAGTATTAATACATATGAATATGTACGTGCGAAGTACATGTGCACAATGTACATGTTCATCCAAAGCTCTACCGAATGAGATCATAATCGGATCCCTTTAGTATAGCAGAGATCGGTCAGCAAGGGTATTTAACGATTCGGCCCAGACACCAGTAGTAGTTTCGTGTTATTATTTTAGCTCTTGTTGTTGGTGTTTGCCACAGGACAGGATTGGGCATTCAAAGCGCGTCCCAAAGCTCGTTTGTTCCATCGTCCCCCAACCCAAGCCATGTCTTACCATCCACCCATCAACGTGGACGAAGCATTGTCCTTCGAGCTGCCAACTTGAGTACACGTAAGACATCACGTGGGTGAGAGAGTAAAGGGAGGGCAGTTTTGCATGGCATGTTTTCAGTCGTTCCCGTTGCCAGGGGACTTAATGAAAGCCAACTGTTGATGACGGATCTGAATCTGAAAATGAAATCTCAGCAAAATGGAGCGGATATCTTAATGAAATCAAAAGAATCCGCTTCATTAGCCAACACGTCTGTCTGCCTGCGTTTTTGTTGACTCTTAACACGTTTATTTTAGCTTTTATTTATTTTTCAGCATTTCAGTAACCATTTTATTTTATTTCTGCTATTCGTTTGTCTATCGTTTCAATGTCTTTTTGCTAGATTTGCATTTTATCTGCGACTAGCTAGAACCTCTCTGTCTGTCTCTCTCCAACTTATTTTGCACTCTCTTTCACATTCCATAGTACAGTCACACTCATATACATCCTTATGCAGCTTTCTACTTATTTTTGTTGTTTCTATATTTGTTTTAAATTTTTTACTAGTAATTAAATTGCTCCATGCGCTTTTTCACTTATCTTTTCTTACTTTTTTATCTTAAACTAAGTTGTCGAGCTCCGCCTCCGTTCTCTACAAACCGTATGCATATCCCATACGAACCGTACACTTCATAGTTGACAATTTGACTAAAACAAGGGCACGAAGAAACAATAGGTGTTTTGGTGTGTGTTTGGGGAAGGAGGGTCAGGAAAATCTATCAACAAAAGATATATTGGGCTTGCGGTATGGAATTTTGGTTGGAAGCCTCCTATTCGCGTAGGGCGCGCTGCTTGGCATGCTTCTTTAATGTGGCGGTGGGCGTGGTCGCAGGCACTGGTATTACCTTGACCGCCGCCGAGGTCGGGAGTGGACCCGTTGCTAATACCGGTGACGGAGTCTTTCGGTGCAGACGCTTGTGATAGCTTTGCCCCAGAGAGTTAACAATTGACACGACAAAATAGCACACCATTCCTATTACAAACGTCTCGAAAATCTTTGATAGCAGATTGCCTGAATCGGGACCAATCCCGGCACCTTGGCCGGCACCACGCTGCTGTCGATGGAGGCGCTGCTTTTGGTTTTTGAGAAAAGCCTTAAAGGGCTCTTGCAGCTTATGACCAAAGTAGGGCAGCGAGGCCAGAAGATCTACTGCCCGCTCGATCAGCGTTTCATTGAAGGCAATTATCACGAAAATTTTCTGTATGTGCATTTTGATTATGGCCTTGCCGATAAGTGTGGCGCCAAAAAAGGTCCAGAATGGCACTAGGAAATGGCCGCAGGTGATGCCAGCCAAGTCAAACAAGGGATTGGGAATCTGCAAAGGATTTCATAGTCAGTATTTTTCTAAGATTTTCCATATATGTATGCATGTTTGTTTGTTTCCACTTACGCTTGCACAGGCCATGATGCCAAAGAAACCAATGCGCTCCACCACGCGCTCCATAAACAGCTTGCCCTTGTCCATCAGGCTGAGGTTCTTTTGGTTCCTCTTGGCGTTCAGGGCCTCAAACTCGGCCAGCTCCTCTGCATCGTCCGGATCGTAGCCGGAAAGTCGTGACGCCTTGGCCATGAAGTAAGGCGGCAGTTCTCCTAGGGCCGTGCCAGCGCCCCAAAGGAATGCCTCCAGTCGAACTTTTGACATGATGGCCCACAGATTGGGCACTCGCTTATCATACGGCTCCTCCGGGCAGATGATGCTGCAGATGAGTCAAAGAAGCGGAGCATGTCAATAAAGAACCACACATCACGATTGGGAGGAAACTCACTCATCTGGATAGGGAGGGCGCGGGAATTTCAGGGAATTGCACTCGTATGCGGCGAGCGTGACGCTGGCTATGTGAGGCCCCAGATATAGAAGGAACGTGTGCAGTCCGGTGCCAAGTCCGACGGAGGAGAGCACGCCCAGACCCAGCCAGTAGACAAAGAACCAGGTGTTACGACGCACTAGCTCAATGGCCAGCTGATGTGGTCCATCTATTCTGTAAATTACACTAAATAAAATGCCTAATACTATCAGAGCGGCTAGCAGGAGGCGTTGCTGCACCAATCTGAAAGGTTATATCGAGTGTGAGTATTTTTTTTCGCCTGAACATTCTCTGTGTCATTCGCCGTTACCTTGCGCTCCATGTGCGAAACAGCGCCAGCAGTTCGAGTCCACAATACATGGACGTATCCAGGGGTCGACGCCAGAGCACCAGCTGCTCGCGCTCGATCCGCTCTCTTTCACGCTGTTTTTCTTTTTGGTTCTTCTCCTTTTTGCTCATTTGAATCTTTCCGTGTACCTGCGACAGCTGGGGTGACGACGACGAGGGGGAAATGGAGGAGCTTGATCCTGATCCCGACACTGTGGCCTGCATAATGCTGTTGGAGTTTTGGTTAAGTTTATTATTGGAATTGGCCTTTAGAGTGCCGTTGGGCATCTGCTTTTTGTGGCCGTGTTTATTCGTGCTGCTACTGCCACTCGTGTGGCGTGTGCTTTGGACATGACTTTTCGTGTTGGTGGCTGCTGTTTCCTTTTCCCTTTTCGAGTGTTGTGACATTTAAGCGGTTTGCAAGCGGCTAAGAATGGGAAAAAATAGATGCACAAATTACCAATTTACTGCCAATATCATTCAAAACAAAAATTCGTATTTTAATGGACTGATTTTAGTGGCAAGAATTTTTGCTATTTGCCTTCCATCATTCGATTTCGTAATTATGCTAATCGTCGTGGCCTACTGCCATTTTGTTTCAAATATTTACAGAAATAGCGCGCATGCTGGCATGGCCAGATTGAAAAAAAAGGATGATTATGATATAATTTTCAACACTGACTTTCCCACGGTAGCGGCAATGCACTGTGAGCTATGTACATATGTGTTTGTGTACACTTTTCCCCGCACATACACGCGGGTACATTTTATTTCTAAATTGAATTAGATTGGTGACAATTTTCGACAGGTTGGCAGCCACGCAACAACCCACATACATAAAGCACTTTACCATGCTCACGTGTACGTGACTGTGTACGTGTTCTTGTGAGAGCCCGCGGAAAACACAACAAAAACAATAGAAGGGAGATTATCATACGATACTCGGAGCACCAATAAAATGAATCCACATGCGCGTTTAACCGAACCGCTAAAGACTGTCTGTGCCCCTGGCTTTTGTGCGGGCGGGTAGCGGTGGTATGAGGTTTGGGGTCGGTTCTGTGCGATGCAGTGTCTTCTGTCTAATCAGCGTTTTTGCCCAAACACACAATAAATTAAATTTTACACTAAACGCCGATGTTTTTTGTGGCCATGACTGCAGCTGTTCTGCACTTTGAGTTTCGGCTTTTTCGGGGTGGTAAGGCAGCCCAAGAGTGTGTTGCCAACCCCCTTTTGGAGCGACACTGACACCAATAACAAAGACACGGCACAAAGAAGTGTCCCAGGGGGATGGTGAGTGAGAGAAGACAGGGCAAACACACAAAAATCAATTGCACTTGCACGAGTGCAAAAACAACAATGAGAAAACAGACGACCGCGAACCAACCAAAAGCACCATGAACTAAAACTACTCCACTTCTTCGCTAATTTGTACGTCACGAGTAACCTCAGCAGCGGTAGCAAAAACAACAAAATTTTACAAATCCGTACAGCAAGAAGCACTCTTTCGATTATCGGCTTTGCAACTGACTTTAAAAAACACTGACTAAAAAAAACTGATTAAAAACAAAACGGGGTGCTGTAAAGATTGTGGGTGCCTGATTCATAAGGCAACTATATAAGGAGGTCCCGTCGGAAAAAATTATGGACTAGTGCGAGTGAAAAGTGCGAGTGAAAGGGCTCTCGCTGTAAGTTTGAGGGCAACGACAATGGAGTGTGCTGATTTATCATTTGAAGGCAATGTGAAAAAAACATAATAATTGTTTCATAATTTAATTTTTAATAGTTTGCTACATAATAGTAGCCTGTGTTCTCAAAAAATAAACATTTAAAAACAAAATTTAAAAAAAATTGTGTCCGCACTGAGAATTGGGTAAAGCAGCTAGTAACTCTGCCACCGACGGGGCCTCCTTACATAGTTGCTAGTTGACCGCGAAATTATTGATAAAATATACCGTCAGGGTATTTAAAATATACCGTAAATATACCGTAAATTTAAATCAGATTCCTCGATTTTGATGTTCTATTTGATATTACTAGCTTGCAAAGACTTTCACCACTGAAACAATAATTTAATCCGATTGAAGAATCAATTTTGCTTATTATAAATACTTCTTGTTATTATATTGTATACCTTATGATCTTATATTTTACACATTTTTATTTGAATTTTTCATTCAAATAACCTAATCTGGAAGCACGCGAGCTTTGTCTTAAGTATGTAAATTATTAACAGAGACACTGATATCATTGCCAAAAATTGAAAAAAAATGAAAATTGCACAAAGCGTTGGGCGACAAGGGAACATAAGGATATATTATAAGCTCGGAGTGCTTTGGGGGCAGATCTTTTATCTTTACAACAAAATTGGGGCTAGAATCCGGATTCGGCACTATCATTCATAATTCATTATTCATATTCATTGTAGTTCTTTACCATCATTATCGTCTAATTAATCACCTATGGATGGTGATTTCTTTTCTTTTATTTCTATATATTTTCTATAGTTATATATTAATATTTTATATTTTATTTGAAGAATTTTATTCTAAAGATCTTGCAGAAGACAAGGGAGCTTTCACGCTGAGAAATTTATGTCAAAATACTAGGGTGTCGACAACAGGTAAAAACGTCACAAAAAATGCAAGGTGTGCAAGGTAAAATATCAATCCTTCAATCCTCCATGTAGCTGGATTTTCGCACGGTTGCATTTTAAGGGGGATTCTATTTTTTTATTTTGAGTATTTGTCTTCAGTATGTAAATGTATGTAAACTATTAACAGAGAAACATTTGGATGAGCCATGTTAACTGATAACATTGAATAATTTGAAAAATAGCGCGTGCAAGAAAAGAGAAAAAGAACGGAAACATAAGTAAAAATTAGAATGAGCTCGGAGTGGTTTGTGGTGCAGTTCTTCTATTCTTACACAACATAATTGTGGCTAGACTCCGGTTTATATATTGGAATTTCTCCTTTCTATTGCTAAGGGACACCGGATAATGATGAAAAAATCAGCTTCCATAATTTTTTTTCTCTCTCTTTATATTTACAATCTGTTTTTTTAAACAATAAGTAAAATGTATAATTAATATTCAATTAACAGAAATAGCAGTTTTCCAATGAGCCCTGCTATTATAGATAACATATTTTCAGTTTGTTGGTTTTATCTATCGGGTAGATCGAGAATGTGGTATCTTTTCAGTCTTCTTACTGTTAAGCTATTGTCTAATAGACTTAAGGCCAAATTAGTTTCGTGGTTGTGGAGTCTGTCGATGTATTTCTTATTAGTTTTCCTTATTTCTTCTTTAATGGTTGGAATATTAAGATCTTTGTGGATATTTGCATTAGATACGTAAAACGGAGCATTGACAATGTGTCGCAAAGTTTTTGATTGGTAACGCTGATGTATCTCCATATTTGAGTTGCTAGCAGTCCCCCAGAGCTGTACAGCGTAGGTCCAAACAGGCTTCAGTATGGATTTGTAGAGGCGAATTTTGTTTTCCAAAGTGGTTTCTGATTTTCGACTTAAGTCTACGTTGTTGACATTTTGCTTTTATGTGTTTTTTCCATGTTAATCTGCGGTCGAGATGCAAGCCGAGATACTTCCCACAGGTACTTTGTGGAATTGGTAAGCCGTTAAGTGTAACATTTGGGCAGTTACCTGGTCATAATGAAAACGTTATTTGGACGGATTTCGGGGAGTTGATTCTAATTTTCCATCGAAGGAACCAGTCTTCAATTAGGCTTAGCTTACTCAATAGATGTGCTTGTGGCTAAAACGGCTGTATCATCAGCATATGTTGCAACAGTGCAGTTTTTTGTAACTGGCATGTCGGCCGTATATAGGGTGTAGAGAATTGGTCCCAATACGCTTCCTTGCGGGACGCCTGCGTTGATGAGAAGTAGTGATGAAGTATCGGTTTTCTGCTGCACGTAAAAGCATATTTTAGCCAGATATGATTTGATTAATAAATAGTACGGAGCAGGTAGCCATTTCGTTATCTTGTACAACAAACCTTTGTGCAAGACTCGATCGAACGCTTGTTGAACATCAAGTAATGCAGCAGTGCAGTATTTTTTGTTTTCAAATGCCGAAACTATATCATTAATAACCCTGTGACATTGCTCAGGGGTCCCATGACCCCTCCTTAATCCGAATTGGTATTCAGGAATGATGGAAAGTTCGTCCAAAATTGGCAACATTCTCTTCAATAGTATTTTTGCAAACACTTTCGAGAATATTGTCAACAGACTAATGGGACGGTATGATGTCAATTCCGTTTCTATTCTGTTTTTCTTCACACATGAATTAAAATAAAATAAAATACAAAAAAGAACAAAAAAAAATATGTTAGAATAGGTTTTCTTTTAGGTCCGTTTAATTAATCTATGTAAGCGGAGTCTATTTTTCGCCCCCCGAACACCACACCCCTTTCACAATTTATATACATATAAATGCAATAACTACTAACAAGAGCTCTTTTTAGTTTAAGTTAATCATTTAAATTTGCATGTCAATTACAGCCGGTTTGTTTACCCAAAAATGGGAATAGAAATAGAATCCGTGGGTATTTTTTTGGAATGTTAGTATTTTTATGTTAGTATTTATTTATTCCGCAAGATAAATGTCAGTCGAGGTAAAACAATGTTTTAGGAATTAAGTAGAGTTATAAAATTAAAGAAATGTTGAATTATATTTGAAGATTTGAAAAGAAAATAAAAATGGAGTAGAGCTCCTTAGATTGGGTGGGACGAGAGAGGCCGGAAGAGTGGAACCAGCTGCTTTTAAATGGAAGCGCGCAACAGCTTAAACGCTCATGGAAGGGAGGGACTTGGCGACTGACCCCGCCGAGAGAGAGTGCCAACGTAGACGCGGGTCGAAAACACCCCTGACTTCCCCGAGAGCTAGCCGGGAACGATAGATCAGGGCGGCAAAAAGGCGGATCATAACAGTTTCTAAAGCCTCTACTGAAAAGAGAGTTAGGATCTCCTTCTTCAGAGTTATACAATCCTTAACGAAACAATTAGCGGCAAGGGTGTTGGCAATGGTCAACCAATGTACATTTTGGGGCCCTCTTTTGGACAGAAAAACTTAATTTTCCAAATTATCTTAATCTAAAACTAATTTTGGAAAAAATAATCAATCTTATAGAAAACTGATTAAGCTGGGATGTATCCCAAACATCCCTGCTCTTTCCCAACAAGCAGAATGAGTAATGATTACCTATAGTTATTGGATAGCAATTGGAGGTGGAACACAGGCATATTGCAGTTGCAGCCCTTTTCATTGCCACGGCATTGCTGAATAAGGAATGCATGGATATCTCATTGGCATGGCCCTCCTTCACAGCCCGAAGTTTATATTATTTTGATTTTGTTTTGTTTTTATTTATTTAATAATAGATTAATTACCGTAGACTTAAACCGAGAGAGTCCTATTCATAACCATACACACTAAATATGCACATCATTTGCTGCATTATTACAAAAATTAAAGACAAAAAAAAAAACATTAAAAAAATTACACAGAAAATAGCGAATCAAGCAATGTATGTATGCACGGGTGCGATTGTACGGACCACCAGTACAGCAATGAAAAGTTAATGAGAGCGGGCTCTGAATAGATCAGGGGCCCGGGGGTTAATGGTAGAACAAAATCATAGTTTTAATCGGAAATACTAGGCTGTATAGAAGGAGTTATATGTATAAAATAAGGTTCACATAACAATTAATTTTTTGTCGGTTTGCTCCTTCCTTGTTCAGATCTTTTTTTTTTTAAGTTCTTGTTGCATTTTGTTTTTTTTTTTTTTCCATTCGTTTAGCTAACTCGCGTCGTATTTTATAAGCTGGATGCTAAACATAAAATATATTTATTTATATATATGTATATATAGATTTCTGTATAAGGGGTTCAATTCATCTTCTCCATTTCCTTTAAGCTTAGTAGGTGCCATAGACATTCTCATCGGAGTAGGCTATGTACAGAAAGTAGTCCTCCTCGTGGTGCTCCTGCGGAATAATTAAAGAAATTAGGTGGTTAGGTTGGTTGGGAATACAAAGAGTTCTTTGGACGTACCTGGTACAAGGAGCCCATGGTAGCCGATGTTGGTGGAATGACATTGTTCACGAAGAAGAAGAGGGCATCTTCGGGACGCAGATGGATGCGCTTGCGTATGAGAAAATAGAACTGGCCCACAGTCAAATCCGATGGCACCAGATACTTCTTCTTGTCCAGATCCCCGATGCGTGCCTTGGGTGCCTTCTCTACAATCACCTGCACAAATGCAACAGAGAGGGGGAAAATGGAAATTGAAATTAGTAATGTGCGATGTTGAATAACAAGAAAAAAAACAATCTAAACAAAGTACGTGCCCTTGAAATATTTCAAAAAACCACATTTGGCGAAAATCAAGAAATTGTAGTTGAATTTTTCAGTGTCGCCACACATATGGCGGACAGTATGCTCGACTACGTGATACCTCACAATTATTACCTCAATTATCAATGGGGTTAACTGGTTCCCCCCACCCCCTCCTCAACCCGTTATTAGGCAACCGAATTAAAGTTGAGCTTGGAACAGGAAGCATCAGCATAATGAATATACATATGTATGTATTTTTGTATGGTATGTATGTAAGCACATATGATTAGAATTCTAGCTGATTGTTAGTTTTCTCTGTCTATCCGTTCTTTGCCCCCTTTGTTAGCCGCATTAGCCATCTGGTAAGCGTCATTGGACGCAGCCAAGGTGTCGTGGATTTTATAGACGCATATGCTAGCTTAGATATAGATTTCGCTGTTCTATGTATGTACGATGTACACATATGCATGCATGTACATACATTTGCATGTATGTATATGGTCTGACCAACCAGCTGGCCTTGCCTCTCGCTCTGGCGTTCGGTCAGCTGTTATGTGATTTTGTGGCTGCCAAAAAAAATCACTCATCCAAACAGACCAAAACCACATGCATATTTGCAGGCGATTTCTCTTAGAATATGAACATATTATACACATGATTCTATGTACATATGTATACGTAAGAATAGGTAAGTAGCTCACGGGATCCGTGTAGAATTGGGAGTACTTTACTTGATGCAATTGGTTCAGAATCGGAACAGAGATGCAGAGACTCGTAATCGAAACATAAGCTCAGTAGATCCACTACACAATCGAATCAATGCAACGAATGGGGGAGGGCACCTTCAGGAGGGCTGATCGAGGAGTTTTCGCTGATAAGGTAGAATGGAATGGAAATTGTGAAATAGCAATAGCAGACTATGACTAATTTCTAGGCAGCAGAGAGAGGGTTCTGCTGTTGCGGTTGCTGCACAAACAAAAACAATACCTGAAAACAAAAACATCAGCCGAGTGGTTGTATTAGTAAGCGATTTGTTTTTTTGCGCAGTATTCGTTCGTTTTTGTTTTCGCAGGCAAACAAAACCCGAAAAAACAAAATCAAAAACAACTGGTTGGTGGATTGCTGAGAAGTGGAGTGGGGCGAGGTCTGATGCTGCTGCTTAGTGGGGGAGATGTGTAGGAAGGCATGGAATAGTGGGAACAGAACAACAGCTGAGCAAGTGAAACAGCTAGCTGGCTTGCGCACACTCGCACACACGCTGAAAACGCAAACCGAAAAATAAGAGAAAATATAAAGAACAAAGCAACTCGAAATGCGTGTACGCGTGTGTGTGTGTGACAATTTTGAATATTAATATTTGCTACCAGTGTTTTGCACCTGCTGAAATGCATGTTATGCCTAGAAAATTCGATTTGGTTAATAACTGCATATGTGCACATTTATATATTATTAACAATTGCCAACAACATCAATATGCGCATTATTGATTATTTCCCTACCAACAAAAAAAAATGATACGAACGACGCAAAACAAACGCATACATACATACACAGGGGCACACTTGCAGCCACCACACACACACACACACACAACTACAAACACTTTTACATATTTATATTTATATACTCCTAGTTTGAATACTTACGGGTACGCGATCTGGATATTTACGACGAATCTTGTCGCCCTCAGCGCGACGCTTCTCAAAAGCATGTTCTTCCTTATATTGGAACTTCATGATTTTGACAAGTTTAGAAAAATCAGATAGAAGACGCAGTTTTCACTTTTTTTCTATGTCCAACAAAATCGACAATAACTATAGCTCTTTGACTGTATGAGTGGAGTGGGGGTATGATTTTTCAGTTTTCGCTGGCCTTTTCTATTAGCAACCGTGTGTTTCGTCTAGTTCGTATTTTGTTGTGATCAGTGTGGCCGCAAATTTGTCGATAAAATAAACCGTCAGGGCCTTGAAAATAAACCGAAATATACTTTTTCATTTTCAAAATATACCGTAAATCTACCGTAGTTTTAAATCAGATTCCTCGATTTTGATGTTCAATTTAATATTACTAGCTTGCAAAGACTTTCACCACTGAAACAATAATTTAATCCGATTAAAGAATCCATTTTGCTTATTATAAATACTTTTTTTGATTGGATTGTATACCTTATGATCTTATATTTTTCACATTTTTATTCGAATTTTTCATTCAAATAACCTCCTCTGGAAGCACGCGACCTTTGTCTTCAGTATGTAAATGTATGTAAATTATTAACAGAGACACTGATTTCAATGCCAATTAATAAAAGCAAGCGGAATAAAAGAGGAAAAAATATTCTATTGTTTTCCTGAAAATTGCACAAAGCGTTGGGCGACAAGGGCGTTGCCAGACTCGCTGATACCGTAGGGCTGCAAAACATTTCCATCGAAAACTTGTACAATATTTTAAAAAATTGTGCCATCGATGGTCTTGCAGCCCTATTTCAAGGTAAAAATCGCTGCACAGGTGGTATTTTGTTTGTTGCATCTATTAGTGAAGCGAGACAAACCGAGGCCCTAGATGCTGCGCTTACTCGTATCCAACTGCAGCCGCAGTGATCCGCTTAGGTAAATGGCATCGCCGGCAGGCATTCAACACAATGACCATGGCAGAGCGCCTGTCCAAAGGTTGCCTCGTGCGTGCTCGAGCCCCTTATGTCATCAAAATCAGTTTTATTTATCGCTATCATTGATTGTTTACAGCAGATGCCACCTGCTACCCCACCTGCCACTGCCACTACCACTGCCCAGGCGGCAGCTGAGCAGCCGCCTTCAGAATGCCACACGCCTCCTGCGACAGCATATCAAAAAGGATGTCCGGCTAACGCCAGCGCCAACGCCTCCTCCTAGCTCATCGAATGCCAGCCGCTTGATACAGACCACACGCGCCCTGCTCTGGGGCGGTGGCAGCCTCACCCTGGGTCTGGGCGCCCGTAGCTGGTGGGCAGGGCGCGGGTCTGTACACTGCGAGGGTAGCCGCCTTATGCAGCACAAACTGGCGGCGAATGAGGAAGAGGAGCACAAGTTTGACTGGAAACGGCTCTGGTCGTACCTGGAGCCACATCTTTGGGAGCTGATCGGGGCTATAGTTGTGAGTATTACAGCTCCTCCATTGGCCAATTCCAGTTTATATTCCCATGTTCAAACCATGTCCAGGCAGCCCTTATAGTGGCATTCATCAACATACGAATACCAAACATCCTGGGGGATCTGGTGGACACGCTAGCCCGCTACGGCAACACCTACGTGATGGACCCAATTCACAATTCGTTTGTTAGGGACGTGAGCAAGCCGGCGACAAATTTGCTCAGCTTGTACATGCTCCAGTCGGGGTTCACGTTCCTGTACATTTACCTGCTGAGCCGCGTGGGGGAGCAGGTGGCGGCCAAGATGCGCCAGGATCTGTTCAAGCAGATCGTGCTGCAGGACATTGCCTTCTTCGATGAGAACCGCACGGGGGAGCTGGTCAATCGGCTCACCGCCGACGTGCAAGACTTCAAAACCTCCTTCAAGCAGTTCGTGGCCCAGGGACTCCGCAGCTCAGCTCAGCTGATCGGCGGCAGCATCTCCCTGTTTATCATCTCGCCCCACATGGCCGCTATCGCCCTGGCTAGCGTGCCCTGCGTGGTCACTTTCATGTCCTATCTGGGCCGCAAGCTGCGTTCCCTCAGCAAGAGCTCCCAGGCCCAGGCGGAGCGGGCAACTGGCGTCTGCGAGGAGGCACTCTCCAACATCAGGACGGTTCGGTCGAGTGCCTGCGAGTACCGCGAGATGCAGCTCTTCGAGTCGGAGACGAACGAGGCCGCCCGACTCGCCCAGGAGCTGGGCTACGGCATTGCCGTCTTTCAGGGCCTCACCAACTTCTTCCTGAACACCCTCGTGCTGTCCACCCTGTTCATGGGCGGCCACCTGATGTCAACCGAGAGCCTCAAGCCTGGTGCCCTGATGGCCTTCCTCGTCGCCTCACAGGGCGTGCAGCGTTCCCTCTCGCAGGGATCCATCCTCCTGGGCACCATGATCCGCGGAATGACCGCCGGCAGCCGGGTATTCGAGTTCCTCTCACTGGAGCCGCAAGTGGACCTGCTGCGTGGCTATGTCATACCCCAGGAGCGACTCCATGGGGAGATACGGTTCGAGAACGTCTCCTTCTCCTACCCCATGAGACCGGACCATGTAAGTATCCAGTTATCCATCGATAAAGCCTCCAAATAAACGACATTTTGTGACTCGCTTCAGGTTGTGCTCAAAGACTTTACGTTGACGCTGCGACCCGGCCAGACGGTGGCCCTGGTGGGAGCTAGTGGGTCGGGCAAATCCACGATAGCCGCTCTGGTGGAGCGCTTCTACGAGCCCACAACGGGCAACATCAAGCTGGACGGGTACAAGCTGTCGGACATATCGCCCTACTGGCTGCGGGCCAACGTTCTGGGCTTCATCGAGCAGCAGCCAATACTGTTTGGAACATCGATCCTAGAGAATATTCGTTACGGGAAGCCGGATGCCGACGAAAAGGATGTTTACGAGGCGTCTAAGCTGGCACAATCGCATGAGTTTGTGACGGCTCTTCCGGACGGCTATAGCACGCATGTGGGGGAGCGCGGCACCCAGCTGAGCGGTGGACAACGGCAGCGGATCGCCATTGCCCGGGCCCTGCTCAAGAATCCGCGCGTCCTCATATTGGACGAGGCGACGAGTGCCCTGGACGCCACCAGCGAGGCCGAGGTGCAGAAAGCCCTGGACACGGCCGTGGAAAACCGGACCACCCTAGTGATAGCCCACCGTCTGTCCACCATCAGAAATGCCGATCTAATTGTAGTCCTCGACCAGGGACATATTGTAGAGGTAAGTAACCCCACGACCATTCGCTAAATACCCTTCTCCTGACATCCTCTCCTCTCAGTCGGGCAGGCACGGCGAGCTGATGGCCAAGCGGGGCCTCTACTACGCCCTGGTACGCCAGCAGGAGCGACGCGACATCCAGGAGCAGCAGGCGGTTGCTGCCACGACGCAGGCGGCAGAACCCGCAAATGCACCTACACCCTCTACGGAGGAGGAGCGAAGGCCAAGCACGGCCCAAGGCTGAACTGAACGAGATGACAATGATTCCCTGTATATTAATTTATTAATTTGTTAATATTTGTATGTTTTTGAATTCCAATTGACCAACAAAACCCCTGGCACGAGACGCTTACAATAAGTTCACAATAAAAAAAACACTGAAGACAGTATTGTTTTTGTTACCAAAAAAAAAAGTATTTTCATACGTACAAATAATCGCTTTTAATTGAAGGTATTTCAAGTTTTTCAAAAAACTCGTTTAAACGATTGCAGAAAACAGTTAACAGAACAGAGCTACCCAGCGGTTTCACATCAGTGACGTGACTCGTGACTTTAAAAATATTTCTACGGCTTTCGAACTATTTCGTGATATATGTAATTGAACAGGAGCATTGTACCATCTCTATCTGTCATCACTAGTTTCATTTTTGGTTTGTTTTTTTGTTTTTCTTGTTTGTGTCGTCGATTATTAAAAATTATAGCCCAAACCCTCACACCTCCACCTCCATCTCCCGAGACAGTAGTCTTACGATGTTAGCTGGATTGCAGGATTCTGAGCAACTAAACGGAGAATATCAACAAATGATCAAGTGCGTTAAGTCCACAGCAGTGCCAATACATACGAGCAATTATGTAAGTGTGTGTGTGTGTGTGATATCTATATTAGAATTAACAATAGACGCTCATGTGGACAAAAAGTTTTTTAAAACAACAACAAAACGAGAAGATGAAACATTAGTATTCCCGTTCCCCCACACACATTTTTGAACATGTGTGCAGCACCTGTACACGTGTATGTGTGCGTGAATAACTTTGCACAGTGGTACGCATGCATTTTCCAATTGGTCTGCAAGAAAAACAAAACAGAGAATGTAGATGGAGCGCAAACCTGCGTCAATTTTTTCAATTAATCAAGTGATCGAGTGTGAAATTAATGAATTAACCAAAATATCTAATGATGAAATAATCAGTAAAATGCAACATTCTACCGTACCACCTGCAGGTAGTTCCTATCTGGATTACGCATTAATTACCTATGTCTATTAGTAGCTACCAATACATAGGGACACATTTTCCACTATTTAAACCACAGTGCGTGGCTTTTGCTCTGGCTTGCGTTTGGCGACGCATTCGTCATTTTCCTTGGTTGCGGACTAAGACGAGATAGCAATATGCACACAATAACTACAGTTACCTTGCACAGCTGTATGGTGTATCATTTTGATTGCAGATGCACTTATTCCCCGCACCCGCATACCAGAATTCGGTTTTGTGTCTCTCTTACTCATTCCCCGCTCTTCTCCCTCTTACCATTGCAGTGCTAACGTAATAGGGAGAATAAATATACATACATAGCTTTCCACATTCCATGCATCAGCATCAGCGCCATCGAGGGGGCAATGGTGCATCAGCCCGCGAAGCAGGATCACGGGGAGGAGGAGCAGGAGGAGGATCAGCAATGTCACAGTGCGGCAACTGTCACGACCAGCTGCTGCCCCACCTGGAGGAGCCGGTTGTGATGGCGCTGGGGCAGCAGTGGCACTGCGACTGCTTCCGCTGCTCCGTATGCGACAGCCACCTGCACAACTGGTACTTTGAGCGCGAGGGTCTACTGTATTGTCGCGATGACTACTATGCACGCTTCGGTGATGCCTGTCAGCAGTGCACGGCGGTGATAACAGGACCCGTGATGATAGCCGGGGAGCACAAATTCCATCCGGAGTGCTTCTGCTGCACGGCCTGCGGCTCCTTTATCGGCGAGGGCGAGTCGTATGCGCTGGTGGAGCGATCGAAGCTCTACTGCGGCCACTGTTACGGAAAGAGATCGTGCCAGCCGATGCCGGCGGATGCCAAAGCACGGATAACGACAGCCGGCAAGCCAATGCATTCCATACGCCTCGTAGAGATACCAAAGGATGCTACTCCCGGACTCCGTGTGGATGGGGTGTCCCTGGACGATGGCTGTCCCTCCGTTCGGATCACAGAGTAAGAACTTCTCCCTCAATCCGCAATCTCTCTACCATCTCCTCTAGCTCATGATCCCATCTTCTATCTCTATCTAACTCGCATCTGTCCATCTCTTTCGAACACATGCTTGCACATGCCGAAAATAGTTTAATTTGTAATTTTTATGGCCGCATGGGCGAGCACGCCTTCGCGTGGCTGAGCTCCGTGGCGGATAATTGCTGTGGTGCAATCTATAGGTAATCTGTAGGCCGTCCTCCTGTGTGATCAACGCCCTCTAATCCCCATTTGTGCTCGCTTTGTCCACAGGATCGATGTGAATCTGACGAATCTGCATATCGGGGACCGCATCCTGGAGGTGAATGGAACACCGGTGAGCGACTCTTCGGTGGAGCAGATCGACAAGCTGATACGAAGCAACGAGAAGATGCTGCAGCTAACGGTGGAGCACGATCCGGTGCAGGTCTGCCGCTCCTGCAGCCAGGCGGACATACAGAGAGCCTGCTCCACACTGGTCCTGCCACTTAGTACATCGGCCTCCAGCGTAGAGGTGGGCGGGCGCGAGCGGGAGCGTCTCTACAAATCATCTGGAACTGGGCCCGAGCAGAGTGCCAAGGCGAGGAAGCTGCGCCAGGCCACGAATGCCACTTCCTCAACAATGACAACGACAACGACATCAGCAGCAGCAGTGGCAGTGGCAGTGGCAGCAGAGGCGGCCGGGGCAGGAATCCACACAACAGCACACATGGCACAGTTTAAGGATAAGGAGCGCTGCTCGAGCATGTCAAAGCTACTGGATGACCAGCACACGGCCCAACAACACTCCGCCCATCCGCAGCTGTACGATCTGTCGCGGACGCAGAGCTGCCGCGTCGTGCAGAAGCCGCAGCGCATTTTCCGTGCCTCGGATCTCGTGATTGGAGAGAAGCTGGGCGAGGGCTTCTTCGGGAAGGTCTTCAAGGTGACGCACCGCCTCAGCGGTGAGGTGATGGTGCTCAAGGAGCTGCACCGCGCTGACGAGGAGGCACAGCGGAATTTTATCAAGGAGGTGGCCGTGCTCCGGCTGCTCGACCACCAGCATGTGCTCAAGTTCATCGGAGTGCTCTACAAGGACAAGAAGCTGCACATGGTCACCGAGTACGTGGCAGGAGGTTGCCTCAAAGAGCTTTTGCACAACTCCAGCGAGTCCCTCAGTTGGCCACAGCGCGTATGCCTAGCCCGGGACATTGCCTGCGGCATGAGTTACCTCCATTCAATGAACATCATCCACCGGGATCTTAACTCGATGAACTGCCTGGTGCGCGAGGATCGTTCTGTGATTGTTGCCGACTTTGGTCTCGCCCGGAGTGTGGATGCACCGCGTCTGCCATACGGCGGGGCATCTGGAGCTGTTACTGGAGTTTCTGCTGCTGGAGGCAGCGATGCCATGTCGCCGAGCAGCACTCTGAGGCGAAGCAAGAGCCGACAGCGAAGGCAACGCTACACGGTGGTTGGTAATCCCTATTGGATGGCTCCGGAGATGATGAAGGGCCTCAAGTACGACGAGAAGGTGGATGTATTCTCATTTGGCATAATGCTCTGTGAGGTAATAACAAGTTCCAAACTAAATGAATCCATTTAATTCTCGAATAATCGATATCCCTTCTTTCAAGATCATTGGTCGCGTGGAAGCGGATCCCGATTTCATGCCGAGGAACTCGGACTTTAGCCTTAATCAGCAGGAGTTCCGCGAGAAGTTCTGCTCCACCTGTCCGGAGGCCTTTTTTAAGGTGGCGTTCGTCTGCTGCGACCTCAATCCAGATATGCGACCCAGTTTCGAAACGCTGCACGTGTGGCTGGAGCAGCTGCGCCACCATCTGATCACTGAGCGACTGCCGCCCGTCCGCCTTCTGCACGAGATCGAGAACTTTCACGAGAACTACCTCAGCTCGGAGGACGCCCTCTCGCCCACCTCCCAACGCAGTCTGGACAACCTCGATGTGCTTTTGACGGCTTCTGCTGAAGCGCCTAAGGCCCCAGACATCGATGCGAGCAATGCGGACGATTCCTCACCCTCGATCCAAGAGAAGGAGAATCTGGTGACTTGCGCTCAGGAGATACCCAAGTCTCCTCATCTGGGGAAGGATTTCTCACCCAGCGGCGAGCGGCTGCGGGACAGCATGCGTGCCCGTCGCCGCCAGCGCTTTCTGGGTGCCCAGGAGGAGCGACGCAATGTCACCCCGGAGACCCACTCAACGGAGCGGGCCCTGAAGCAGGCCCTGAAGAAGTGCCGTCCGTTTGGGGAGAAGGGCTACCTCGTCGACCTGCGTCCCGGCGCGGAGCTGCAGTTACACAACGTTCGCGACCTCAACAACTACTCGGATTTAGACTCCAGCTGCGATACGAGCCTCAATTACCACGAGGTGAATGCTCCTACTTCTACATTGCCAGAGCCCAAGGAGGTGGCGAGCCAAGATGCTAAGGTAGTGATGGACCCCCCTCGACCCCCGGCCCCAGAGCCAGAGCACCGCATGGCCATCGATGATATGCGTACGCGACTGCACCAGTGCCGCAGTAAGTTCGAGCACCTCGAGGAGGCGAGCCGTCGCAATTTCAGCCAATCGCAGAGCTCTATGCGCAACTTCTTTAAGACGCCGCCGGTGGCCCTGAAGATGTTTCAGAGGCTGGAGCACGAGGCAGCCGCCGCCGGCCTCAATGGCAACTGTCCCCCACCGCCACCACGAACCCAGCGTATTAATCAGACGCCTATATTTGGGCGCCGCAATCCGCTGCCAGCGCAACAGAACCAGGTCCAACATGCCGATTCCCTCGAGAATCTGGCCACGAATACGACCGGGCACGGCAAGCAGACACCGGCACTGGCACCCAAGCGAAGCAAGGCTGCCACCAGCAGCAGCCAGAACACCGGCCCCGCCGAGGTGCACGGAATCTTGGCTGCAGCTCCGTCCGGGTCTCCGCTTTTGTTCCATCGAGTGGCCAGCGACAGTAGTCCAGTAACGGTAGCTACAGCAGCTTCCCCGGCAGCCCCCCCGGATTGGCTACCCAAGAAGCACAAAATGACTCTCCCCCTGCCAACCCAACGGTCCAGCAACCAGCGCCAGCCTTTGGGCAGCCACAAGACAAAGCTGCCCAAAAGCCCCTTCAGTCGTTCGTATGCACAGCCGGCACAAACTTCCCCCAGCCACTGCAATGCATCGGCAACGCGGCCCCGTCCGGGATCACCCAGCAAGCATTTGGCCCAAAGGCACACTGCGGCCACCGCCCAGCGCCTGAGCAACGGTATGAGTAGATATTGAAGATAAATTGTGAATAAGTCCTCTATATCTGCCTATTTGTAATTGTCATCCTTTCAGTTGTTCCCGTTCACCAGCAGCAGCAGCAGCATCAGCCATCGTCGAAGACAACCCGTCTGAACATCCTCAGTCCAGAGAGGGTGCATCGTCTGGGGGCACGACTCAGCGACCAGAAACAGAAAATGCGGGAGGAGGTAACAACGGCAGCGGCAACAGTTGGCGGTGGAGGAGCTGGAGGCGTAGCGGCCACATTGGCGGATGTCAGCAATGGTCATGGACGGTCCGGGTCGGCCGGTGGAGCAGGTGGTGCCGCCGGGGAGAGACGAAGAAGGCCACCGCCGCCACCGCCGGTGCGCAATCATTTCAATACGCGCTGCTAGCTGTCACACACCTGTTATACAGGGAGAGGCATGTGGAGGCATTGTAAGCCCTAGCTGTGAGAAAATTCCGGTAAACTGTTATAAACAGTAAGTCGGTTCCACTTTTAGCCACAGCCACAACATAACTGGTCGAACTGTTATACGCACAAGACACAAACACAAGCACATACCATACAACGCACATTCCAACCGAATCCATAAATCAATCAACGAAAAGCGAAAGAGGGAAAGATGAGAAGCGTATAACAGTTATTCTCATTCAAAACTGAAAGCTGTTCCATTAGAGCTCTTCGCCTTGGAATGCATACGAATCATAACGAAGGTTAAGTGCCTGCGCGATAAAGCGAAACAAATTCAAGATGCAATATTTACAAATTACTCGTTATAAAAACAGTTATATAGTGTAATATAGAATCGAATAGAAACCCCCAAACAGAACACCTAATGCTAGTGCTTAAGATTTCGTAACAGGCTCCCCTCATATATTAGGTTTAAGCTCATGTATCATGTGAACCGATTAGCGAGAAAGAGGAGATGAAACGTAAACTTGTGCCATGCCCAGTGATAAAATATGATGGAATCCTGGGATTGAGCGATGTGCGAAAGATATAATATGTGCAAATGTATGTATGTATGTATATGGCGAAGAAAGACCCCACCCAACAAAATGAAAAAAAGACATTAATGAAGTAAATTTGTTTAGAAAATTGTGGTTTAAAAGTGTCTTTAAATACATATGTGTGTAAATATTGTACCAAACACTAAGATAATTTCATAAAGCCACTATGTATGATATCTATCCATTCGTACATACATATGTATGTATATGTGTGTACTTTTTTTCCATGTTAGTGCTTAAATCTAATTTATTATTTATCGATCGATTCTCCATGAACAATAATTAATAGCATTTTGTATTGAGAAACAAAAGTCTAACTTGTATTTAATATAATAATACTATTATGTATGTATGTAAATACATAAATATGTACTATGTATTCATTTAAATATGTGTGTACATATGCGAACTCTTTTGCTCAAAGAAGGCATCTTTAGATGTTAAGCCACATTGCACATTGCTAACTGTTATACACACACATACCCATCATACATACACACTACGTAATGCTGTTCAAGGAATAAGAAGGAACTGTTATACTGCACTTGATATTTACATTATAAAACGCTTGCAATTAATATATGTATGTATAGCTTTATTGCCATATGTGTACATATGACACCCGAGTTTGTTTGTGTTTGCTATACGGTATAACAAGTATGAAAGCACGATGATCGTAAACGTTTCCATTGTCATACATACACGTATAACACACCCAACTGTTACATGATTGTTATACAGTATACCAGTCTTAGCTAGCACACGCTAAAAACAATGATTTCTAACGTGCAAGTTGCCATATAACACTTAAGTGCGTGAAATGTACTGTTTTATAGTATAACAGTGGCTGCACAAATACATACTCGCGCCTCTCAATGTTTTAACTAAAAACTTTATCTAGTATTTAATGAATATACAACATATTAGTGGATATTTTTGTATATGTATGTACATTTAAGTATGTATGTATATAAATATGTACATATGTATGTAAACACAGTTGATAATTATTATGTATAATTCTGGATAAACTCAAACGCCCACAACATACATACATATGTACATACATACCAGCATTCCCTCCTCACTGGATTCAATTTTTATTTTCTGTTATTCTAAAAAAGGGAAAACTAAGAACATAATAAAAAAGAAAATGCAGAAACATTCTTTATAATCGTTAAACCATTTATCCATTGCGTGGATCCCTAAACAGCATATACATACATACGATGTCCGCCTTGAAAAAATTAAGAACTGGAAGTGGGGAGAAGGCCTGTTAAAATTCGATGCAGGTTTGATGGAAGTCCGCGATCTGTTTAAAATTAGAATACCCTCTGCAAAGGGTATCACGAAATAAAGTTACTCATCTTACACGCCAAAAGCCGTAGCCAATGCACCGTTACGAGGGCGCTGTGTGTCGTGTGTATCTTTCGGGGTTACGCATTGCACTTTTCCAGGAAGCTTCTTGACGCGCGCACACTCGCCCACGCAAGTACACTTGCATACGAATGTATGTACATAAATACGTATGTATGTACACATATGTATATATATTTATATATATATATATATATATATATATATATATATATATATATATGTATATATGTGGGCGGGTTGTATGTCCGTTGGGCTGTATACATACATACGTATTTATGTATGTACGTAACATACAGCACGACAGGTTGTATCCATCGTAGATTTTGTCCCAGACCATGGTTCGTCGGATCGATAAAGGCCAACAGCCCAGGACAATGCATACACACCCACTAGCTATGAGAGAGAGGGAGAAAGAGCCGACAGAGCATGCAAAAACATATTCAAGGTCTACCTTCGTGTATGCACACCCAAAGAGTGTCCCTTCAACAGCCAAACACCACCCAACTATACATACACAATATGAAAGCACACACAATCATGTGTACATATGTATGTTGTACATATGTAGACATCCATACATACACCTTGCCTGTATCCCATGGGGCGAACACGAACACCAACAACGCAAATGTCGTCACCATTATTGGCACCCCTGGTGTTAATATCCCGGGTACGGTATGGACTAAATGGGGCATGTTAAATTTGCGACAATCAGCTAGAAGGAAGCATTTCGTTTCTTTCCACCTCTGTTCGTTTATATGTAATTTGTACGTCACCATTAAACGTTCAGATCCTCAGTCTCCCAGTCCCCCTCCTCAAATTTCCATAAAAAAATGTACATATGATGTGTGTAAATATTTACAATCTAATGGGTATCCTAAGTTGAGCGAGCAAACGTTCCTGGTTGTTTTGTTGCTTATGACGTGCTCGCACGTACGCAACTGTTTATCCAACCACGGTCAGTCAGCCCAACATACATACATACATACATACATAACAATACAATACAATGTGTATACTATGCTAGTACATATGTATGTACATATATGTACTTCCACATCTTGGACCGGGAAAAGCGAGTGTGACGTCAAAGGAAGAAAGGCCGTTTCCAACGGCTAGGACAGATTTAAAAACGACAAAAAGCTGCCAGACCGAATATCGAATATCGTGTTTTACGAAATTTTCCAAATTACAGGTACCCAGACTGTATCGATAGCGAAATTCATATACATGAAAGGTATATAAATAGGTTTTATCATAAAAGAAGCTTGGAAAACAGAATATGTATATTAATTTTAATCAATAGACATAGGGTGTACACCAGTTGACTAGCAGCAAATTATCAAATGACGTAACATTTCATTCGCACTACGCTAAGGTCGATTTAGACGCTGATTCTGATGTGAGGAATCACGCTTTGTTCACACGTTGAATCATTTGGCATGAATCGTGGCTCATAGCTGACACAGCCGAAAAGCTCCGAGCGCAGGACTCGCTCAAATATCTAAATCGATTCGATATTCTGTGAATCATTGTTATTGTATGCGGGAAATGAGAATGTAGCTTCACACGTACAGATGAATAAACGATTCGGACTCACCGTGTAATTTCAGCTTTACACTTTATCGGTATATTTTGAAAATGATAAGGTATCTTTTGGTATATCGCTGTGGTATTTTCCTGCTCATATTTGAACCGAAAAAATGAGTCGACTTGGCATGGCAAGGTATGGACAGCAGGCAAAATCGAACAAGCTTTTCACGAGGCTCACGCACAAAGCTCACCTGGCCCTGGCCCTGCTTGTACAATATATCTTGAAGTTTGAAATTTGAAAGCTGGTTTTACAAGCATCGCCAGCCGAACGTGCCGGACCAAAGGGAACAACAGAAAGTTGAATGAATTCGGAAACGTCCGTTGATAGTTGATATATCCCAGAAAAATCTCCATATTTGCAACAAAAATATCACCCACACATATATGTAGTAAAAAAAATATATCAACATTCGATATATATGTATGTATGTACATACCTACCGTGCACAACGACAACGCAACCCCAGAAAATAACGAACGACGTCGTGCCGAGTGCTCTGTACACCGTGTGTTTAGTTTTTTTGTTTTCCTAAGTAAATACTAAATAAAACTTAATAAAATAATTAATAAGTGCGTCAAGTTGAGTCCGTACTCCGGAATTGGGTTCGATTGGTTCCTCCACGTTTTTTGGCGTCGTCGGCTGTACGTGTCTTGCTCGCTCTATCTCTCTCTCCCTCTCTATCTGTCCTGCTCCGCATGCAAGCGCAACGAAACGAACAAGAAACAGAAAACGTAAACGCGTACGTACACATCTGCATGTGCGAGTGTGTGTGTGTGTGTATGAATGCCGCAGCGCAATAGAAAAATTAAATGAAAGAAAACATGAGACAAGAGAAGAGAGCAGTACGCAACCGAAGTCCTCCCAAAATAATTGTTTTACCATTGTTTTTTGTGTGTAGGGCTAAATAAAATACACAAAAATATAAACAAACAAAATAAGCGTATAAAGTAAATGAAAAACAACTGTAAAGTAATGGCCATGTGTGTGATGGCCTGGCCCATGTACGTGTGCGTGTGCGAAAATCAATAACAAAAGGCAAAGCACGAAACATACAAAAAACGAGTGAGTGGTGTGTGTTTGTGTATGAAGGCGATAAAGGGGGATAAAATGAACAAGCAGCCGCCCGTGTGCCCAAGAGCAATGCGTCGCCGGTTCCAGTTCAAATCCGAATCCGAATCTTTGCAACGGCAATTTCTGAACATTCACATCAAAAGCAATTGAAAAAACAAAACGCTAAACAAAACGAAACGAAGCCTCAAGAAGGAGGATAAAGCAAAACAGGAAGAACAACCCCAGAAGAAAAACAGTTGGTGAGAAGAGCAATAGCAGCAGAGACGCCAACGCCGACGCCAAAAGTAGGGCGACTTGCGCGCGTAAATTTGGGTCGTCGACTGCAACTGCAACAGCAGCAGCAGCGGCACAAACAACAGCACATCCAGTGGGCATTCCATTGGAGGATTTCCAGTGTTCCATCGCAACGCCCCCTCCATTCTCTCTTCAATCAAAATTATCGCAAAATGTCGCTCCAAACGAAACGACAGCACTGTTACCTATGTGACCTGCCCCGCATGCCCTGGGCCATGATCAATGACTTCACGGAGGCGGTGTGTCGCGGCTGCGTCAACTATGAGGGTGCCGACCGAATCGAGGTGGTGCTGGACGCCGCCCGGCAGATGAAGCGCCTCCATCCGAGCAGCAAGCGTGCTCACGAGAACGGCGAAGTGGTCGTCCTTCAGCAGCAACAGCAGACAGTGGCCGGCCTCCAGCAGGTACCAGGATCGCATCGTGGAGCGCCTAGTAGCAGTGCCGGCGGACCTGGTCCGTCCGGCGCCCCTGGTGGACCCCTCTCGCTGGGCGGCAGCTCCGCTGCAGTGGCTGCAGTTATGCATCATGCCGCCGTGGCGGCCGCCTACCAGATGCCCGTTCCACGCATCGGACCGCCGCCGCAGCAGACCACCAGCCTCATGGACTATCCGGTCAAATTAGAAGCGTCGCCGCATGACGGGTCTGGCGGAGTGCGACCTGTCCGCATCTCCCACATGACGCCCCACCATATGCCGCCCAACTCGGGCCAAAGGGCCTCCTCCGTGGCCCAGCAGCAACAGCAGCAGCAGCAACAACAGCAGCAACAGTCCGGTGTGGGCGGGGGTATGACCGGCGGTGGAGCCGGCAATGGACCCACGCTACCACCCGCCCTTTCCGTCAATCTAAAGCGTCCCTCCTCCGAGGATGTGGACGATCAGCAGCAACCTCATGGCCCCCACGCAGTTGTCCCATCGGATGGAGCTGGTCCACCTGGCGTCAAGAGAAGCGCCCTTGACGATCCCAGCGGCGTCCGGCCGCCCCTCACACGTGGAGAATCACTGCCCGCCGCCGTCAGCTACGTACCAGAGCGGCAGCTTAATTTGCGGGACAAGCAGCAGCCTGTACGGGCTCCCAGCTTCGATGCTTCGACCTTCAAAGCAGGCGGTGAGTAGGATATCACAAGAACCGAAAAAAACAATGGGTTGAGAAAGATAGAGATAGAGGGAGAGCACGAATCTAATTTCAGTAGTGTATTCTCAATACACTATATGTAGATCGTTTGACGGGGGAAGAGGGGTGCTTATCGCCCCTTGGAACTTGATGGGGAACTAGGCTTAGGGCAGGGCTTCGGTGCTGGGTTGGTTACTGGAGTACGTTGACAGGACGGGGGATGGGGATGGTGGTTGAGCGATAAGCGGTGTCGTTGCTGGTGGACATGGCTGATAACCAGGTCCGGCGAGATTAGATAACACCGTAAGGCAGGCAGGCCTCTTATCAATCCATCCAGTATGTTTTGAGTCTTATCAGGAATCTGGTTCCTCTCGTAAATTTGTGTGCGTGTGTGTGGTTAGGTAGGTATTGGAAGCGTGGCAGCAGCTTTTCCAGGCTCTGGGCCACAACAACAGATGTGTGTGTATGTATCCAATACATGCACCAAAACACCAAAGAAGCTAAATGCAACCCCCGCCTGGCAATGGGCTGCAAACCCTTGCCATTGTCATGCGCACTTCGTAGCATGCACACACAGCCACATTTACACACACGTATACGTACGTATTCGCATTCGTCCGGCTCCTGCTACATCTCTAACACACTAATACAAGGGCATTGTCACATGCACGTACGTAATCGTAATCGCTCAAAAGGGCGGTCGACGCGACGCTACGCGCAGAATGTAATAAAAACAAAGACGTGCAAAAATCGTCGTCGCTGACGTTCCCCCATGTAACTGTGTGTGACCTCTCCAACCACCCCACATTGCCATAACCAACAATCGGTCTTTCTCTGTCACTGACTATTCTTCCTCTTCGCACTTGCTGCTGCTGACCGAAAACCCGTTTCGACTGCTGGTTTTCTGTGTGTATCCGTATATATGTATGTAGCAGTGTATGTGTGCCTATATATATATGTATTTTTTTCTTTTAGTGCGCGCGCAAAACGTCATTAAACTTGTTTTGGTTTTTACTTTTTCGTCTGTTCGGCTTTTCTGTGCTGTTTTTACGCTATGCGCGATAACCGGAGTATAGATAAATTTTGTTAGTTTGTATATGTGCATACATATGTGCATACTATGTGATGCGCAGAGGGGGGAGCGGGAGTAATGCAGTGACAACGATCACTTACTGGAAGAACAACTGAGAAAGATGAAGAAAAAAATAAACTGCAATAACAACAGCAAAAGTATTTGGAAACGGGGGGAACTGCAGAACGCGATGCCGTCATCAGCCCTACGCACTGTAAGCCAAGCCAAGCATATGATTTTAGAACGATGACAAAAAATCTATAAAAAAACGGTACAACAGTGTTTATGTCGTTAATAATTTTAAATATATATGTTCTTGGTTAAAAAAAACGTTGCACTGTGGCAATTTACACGAGTTTTTTGTTTTTGATTATTTAACTTACACTTCTTCGTATGTGTGCGTGTGTGCTTTTCATGACCAAAATTCCTTCTACGGCTATGTACATATGTATGTATACATATAATACATATATTTTTAGTTATGTGTGTACATATATGCATGCATGAATCTGGATGTACATATATGTATGTACCAAAAGTATAACAAAACAATTCCACGGGTACATACAGGAAAAAACTTGTACAACGTGCGCGCGCTCGTTTCCAAGCCCCCTCCCGCCCCCAGCCAACGGGCTCCACCTCCTTTTCGTTTCGGGCCTCTTCGTTCGCCTTCATCTTCATTCAGTGCTTCGTGTATGCTTTGTGTGTATGCATTCCCACCTAACGAGTCGAGTGCGAGTGCGTCCGACTGTGTGTGTCCACCGACTGACCATTCCAATGCGTTTGCCAGGAATTTGTCTCTGCACGCCAAAAAGGGGATGTGTTGGGAGGAGAGGAGTGGTAATAAGGCAGACATGCGATGTGTGTGCTTGCTTGCATATGTGTTATTTGACTCTTTCAACAGCGCGAGACTTTGTCTGCACAACGGCGTGCACAAGAGAGATGATAGAGCTCAGCGTGCAGTGGAGTTCGCATGTTAACCGTTAAACACGTGAACAAGCTTGATGGGGCGGTACTGCTGCTACGCCGCTCTACTCTGACACTGCTGCTGATAAGATAGATGCATTATTTCAACTGTTGTTGCTGATGGCCTCGCACAGTGGCACCGCAGTCATGCGCCCTTGCATCGGCTTTCTGTGAATGAAAGCGACAATGATTTTTTTATTATACTTGTACAGTTTTATTTTTATATGTATATACATATGTACCATTCTCTCTGGGGAGAGTGTCAACCGAGTGGCACTTTGGTGTTATACAGACATACATACATAGATAAACAGCTTATCGGGGATAAGATTGCGCCATCGACCTAGTCGTACCCATACATACGATAAATGTACATACACATGTACATATATAAATGAATGTACAAACATGTGTAGGTGTATCTGTATTTATCTTATCATATCTGAGGTAGCCGACCATGTGGATAGATAACACAAAAAACTGCTCGATAAGGGGACTAAAACCCATGACATGCGAGCAGAAAGGCAAATATTCTGAAGAGCCTACGGTGCTCTCAGAGGAACGCACCGTACGTCCTGATATGATATTACTGATGTTGATAACTTAGGGGGCATTTGCCCCGGGGCCGCCGATTTGAACTCGAAACTACTCAATTTTGAATATAAAGGGTGTTTTGGGGGCGCCGTTTTAGAACTTCGCCCCGGGCGCAAATATTCCCATGCTTGGCCCTGTGTATAACACTTACCACTCCATTCCACTTTCGTTTGCTTTTGGCCGGGTTCTATAAACACAGCTGTTTTATTTATTATCTTATCGTGAAATTGACGGACGGGCTGTTCTGTTCGACGGGGTGTCTCTCCATACTCGTCCTCTACTATCTTATCGTCCATGGCCAACTTTGACTGATAGCGAAACCCGGTACCGGGTCGTGTCTTACCTCTCTGGCTCTTGGTGTTGCTGTTCAACACCCTATGAAATATTCATACATATGTATGTAGAAATTTGTTTATTATACAAATAGGGTATATTGTATTTGTGCTTGAAATTGGATTTATGTAACGCATAGAAAAAAAACGTTTCCGACCCCATAAAGTATGTATATATGTCGTATATTCTTAATCAGCCGCAATATCAATAAGATCAGTACGTCTGCCAGGCCGTCCTACTTAGATACCATATGTACCAGATCCCTGAATTAAGATCAGATTGGATCTTTATTATAGCCAGAATGACGAAACTCATGTCCAGTGCCTACCCCAAACCACTACTAGCTACTTTGTTTATTATTTTATTATTTATTTATTTAGAAGAGCATATGTATGTATGTATGTATATACATACATCATTATAAGGCGATTTTAAAGTGGTTTGGCATTAGGAGAGAGGAAACCAAGACCAATCAATGAATCCACTTAAAATCGTAGCGTTTTTGAGAGAGTCTGAACGTGTTAGGTCGAATAAAAGTACATCTGTGTATGTGCATATGAAACATATCCTATTAAAGACGAATAATTGGAATTGCCCCCGAAATTATACAGATACAAAATATTATAATTTTATCAATTGGAATTTCCATGGAAACCCAGAACTATAACTTGGTGGGGTGTGTTTGGGGGCAGAGATTTTGAGGAACGTGTGGTGTCTGATAATGAGATGTATCGAAGAACCGTCATTCATACGAAGGTTAGTTATTTTTATACCCGGTACTCGAAGAGTAAACAGGGTATATTGTATTTGTGCGAATAACGGTTGTATGTAACGCACAGAAGGAAACGTTTCCGACCCCATAAAGTATATATATTCTTGATCAGCAACAATAGCCGAGTCGATTGAGCCATGTCAGTCTGTCCTTCAGTGTGTCCATCTGTCCGTCTGTCCGTCCTGATGAGCGCCTAGTACTCAGAGACCATAAAAGCTAGAGCTACCAAGTTTTGCATCCAGACTTCTGTATGCTCACACTGTTACAAGCGTATTTAAAAAATTTGCCCCGCCTCCTTCCGCCCCCGCAAAAGGGCGAAAACATCCCAAACCTACATCTTTGAAGATAAAAGAAAACGTAGGGAATGACCATATCTATCAGATCACCAAATTGGCATCCGAGGGGATCATTATTTTAGCAACATTATTACACCCCGTCCCGCAGCTTATATTTGTTTTTTGCACATTCTCTCATTCACACTCTGCTTCGCGCAATGGGCGGCCTCTGCCTCTGCCTCGGCTTCTGCAGCGTCTCTGCCGTGACTCTGCAGTGTGTGGCTCTAGGAGAGGGTGGCGATGACAGATGAAGAAACAACGTAAAATTTGACAAAACATCGCTAAGGTGCAGATGTAGTACTGAGTGCTGGGTATAAAAGTTGTGACGCGTAAGAAGCGTCTCACACGTCCCTTCTCGTTTAACATAGCATATTATATACAATATGGTTTATTTTTATTACCATAAAAAGTTCTATAAATATTGAATTGTTTACAATGAGTGCCCCCAATCCAAAAATGTATCTGTATACATCTGTAATCCGTAATCCAAGTGTAAACAGTGAATCATTCCTGCTTCTGCTGATCCGCTGCTTGGGCAGTGCGAACTTTCGATCATGGAATACGGTTTCATAGGCAGGCAATATGTGTGCGTCGGTTCGTGTCGAAAACTAAAACGGATCTATAAATAGAAATCATATTCGATATGGAGAACTGGGATCGCGAAAATGGATGTTGCTTATTCTATGCAAATGCATGGGCATGTGGTGTGGGAATTGGGGTGTGTACTGTATATGAAATTCGGTGGAAACAGAGCAGCCACAATCATAAGAGGCCGAAAGAGAAACGTTCCTCTTTCTGTAAATATTCTATTCCGATTGGATGCGGCCCACTGTCCTGAGCCGTCCCATCTTCATTCTCGTAACTGTGTGTAACTTGCGCAGGAATGTTGTCCCTCTCTTGCTTGCACTTAACTATCTGCACATTCTTCTTTTCAATGGGCCATGTGCTGTTCTGCTGTTCTTCTCTACTCTCCTCTCTTCATTATGCCATTCAAGGAGTTTGTATCTGCGTGAGAGCAAAAGGGACAGATTTGCGTGAGCGTGGAAGCTCCGTTGCAGTGCTCTCGCTGCTTTTTACATATGGTTGCAGTTGTTGCTTTTCACTCTCGAATGCAAAATATAAACAAATGCTATAAATATACCAACTCACGCGCACATATTCACAGACACGCGATCAGTCACAAACACTTCCATATACCACATTTATGTACGCCCGTGCGTACATGCTGGGGCCACACAACATGCACGACGACAATGGGCGACACCCCGAAATTGGCCATGACGACAACGTCTTTCCCCTGCAACTTATTTAAGACATGTAGCCACTGCCGCGTAAGCATTTTGCCATAGAGCAACTGTCTTTTTTTCTTTCAAATAAACAATTATAACAGCACACAATGCTGTGAGTCGCTGGCCATTTCGTATGTATGGCTGCCGGCCTGGTGGCTCCAACTGACAGCGTCGTCGACATTTGAGCAATGTGCTCGTGCCTGTTGGGCATACAAATTAAAGATCGCTGCTGTCGTCTCTGCCTTCTTTTTTCAATATCAAGCAGCAGCAGCAAAAGTAAATGGTGGATACGCGTGCGCGTGCAATGCCTACGAAAAGCCTTACGACTCGTGGTATATAAGAGTAAAAACGGCGAAGCTAATAAGCAGCAGATGTGGCAGCAGCCCTAGCGGCAGCAGGGGCCTGTTAAAACTTGCACGCTTCGTCGTCATGTCACGACGTGACGAAAAATGAAAACCGAAAGCACAGTCACAACAAAACTAAAACAAGACTAATTGAAGAATGGTAGACGACTAACTTTGCGGCTCGAGCATGTCGATACCCTGCAGAGTCAAAGCTTTTAAGGTAGCTACGAACTGTATGCATATAGAATTTTAAATAATTTGACTAGTTTAAAAACTGTGGTATTATCTACCGCAGAAAAAGAGTGACATGATGATCAAGGTCATTTATGAATATGAAAATACTGAGTGTTACAAACAAGTGGAAAAAATAATCATACTGTATGCAAAGGGTATAATATTCGAGCTCGCCGTAGGAGAGTTGTGTGTGTGTTACCTGTGATACATACACAGTATTGCATGTCATGCATGCAAAATATGAAAACGAAAAGGAGTTTCATGAAGATGACCGAGGGAGAAGGAAAAACGGCTCGGGCAAACAACTGGAAGTTTTGCCGTGTTCTTCCTCACCCTCTCTCACTTGGTTGCATGCAAACCGACGCTGTCGCTGCCTCTGCCTTGTTATTGTGACGTATTTTCTGCAGCAGTGCTACAGAGAAAACTTGTTTCGTTTCATTTCATTTCGTCTCGTTTCGTTGATGTGTCGTGTCGCCTGGGCACATTGCCAACTGAACTGACGTTGACGTTGGCAAAAACGAAGCAAAAAAAGAATGCGCAGAATAAAGTAGGAGAAGAAGCTGCCAAAAGCGGAACAAACAACAAAACAAAACAGACACACACACAAAAATACCAGCTGGGACTGCGCGGCGCAGCTGCACAGTGGAACCAGACTTTAAATGCCACACAATGACACGCAATTATGTGGGGCTATTGTGACGTCATATATATTGAATGGGGTTGGGGTATTGGGGCTTGTTGGTGAATGAAATTTGTTGTTGCCGCTGCTGAATCTGTTGCTGTCGCTGCCAAGTTATATACAATTATGTATGCATGTATGTATATTGTATGCATTTAGAAATATTTTTGTGCCAAGTTCTAAAATTACATTGAGAGAAGAAAAACTAGCCGAAAAGTGGAGAGGTATTCCAGCAAATGTTTTTGATTTGAAAGTTAAAGGAAGCATAATTTGAGTTCGATTCATAACTCTAAAATTTGTTTTATTGAGCCTAATTCAATCAATAAATCACTAGCAATGAAAACTCCAAACATCTGAAAATCAGAGAATGAGAATTTCATTTAATTTGTCATTCTCCGCCGGACAACAAAATTGAAAGCAGAAACGGGCGCCGACCAGGCCGTCAGTCCACGACTCTTGAGTGTCCCATTTTGTTCCATGACAACCACAGTGGGTGTGGACAGGCAACACACGCATATTCGCATACACATGCATGCAATATTCATAGGAACATACATACAGTTGCGTTCAAAATAATAATAGTACTACTATGGGAATTACATATTTGCTAATTTTTGCGCTGTTCCTTGAACAATACAATTTGTTGCCTTCCTCGAACAGCTATCAAGCCATTCTATGCTTGTAAAGTTATAGTAGCGTGTCCCGTTTCTTTGACTTTTTTCGGCAAACATCACCTTTTCGATGAGGTCAAAATAAAAGTAGTGTTACTAAATGTTTAAAAAGTAACAAATCCACTAACGTTTCCGCAAAATACACTTGATATACCGTAAAAACGGCTGTTTCCTAAAAAATGGTTTGGCCATGTTTTCTTACTGGGGAATTTGGCCAGTTTATGTGTTAAAATCATTGGATCGCCATTTATATATTCAGATATTGATCGATATGATGATATAATTATATTGGCACGACTATTATTTTGACCGTAGCTGTATGTACATAATTGCATAGAGCGTAGAGGGCCGAAGGCGCCCCCTTGTACAATACCACTGGACTGCTGGGGAATTAAATAAGTACAAATGTGTTCCACCTGTACATCTACATATGTACATATCATAAAAAGATAGTCGTAGTATCTATAATTATCCAAAACTTGCATTTACCTAATCCAAACACCCATCTGCTCTACATTCCAGATCACCTATCACCGGCCAGTCGACGAAATGGGTCTAGCCCGCCCTCGGGACCGCTGCCCCCACGAAGCGTACACTCGCCTAATAGTTCGGGTTAGTTGTTCATTCATATTTTCGGATGTGTCCATTTTTTAGTGTCAATCTCATTTTCATACAGGCTCCTCGTCGGGTCGGCGATCGTCAGGCTCCCGACACGTGTCTAGCACAACAGTCACAAGCACAGATGTGGGCGGTGCAAATGCCGGGCAGACGTCCGTGCCCGGTGGCCTGGGCGGCGGAAGTGGCAACGGAGGAGGAACCGGTTCTTTGGGTGTACCGGGCGGCGGCAGCAGCTCCCAACTGTCCACTGGCAGTGCCACATCTGGCAACACAGGACCTTCATCGATGCCGCCAGGTGCGGGGGCCGGCGACGGCAGCACGGCCGGGGGCAGTAATGGCGGCACCGGCATCGGCGGTGGCGGTCCATCCGGAAGTAATGGCAGCGGAGCAGTGAATCCCGGACCTGGGAGCAGTGGCAGTCAGGGCACGCCAGGCATGGGCAGCGGTGGGGGAGCTGGTGCCGGGATTAGTGGGGCGCCGGGCGGCAGTGCTGCGTCAAATTCAGCAGCAGCGGCAGCGGCTGCGGCCGCTCAGAATGCAACGCTTAAGTGCACCTTATGCCAGGAGCGGCTCGAGGACACGCACTTTGTCCAGTGTCCTTCGGTGAATCATCACAAGTTCTGTTTCCCCTGTAGCCGCGAGAGCATCAAGCGGCAGAATGTGAGTACCATTAGCATATCTTCACTTTCTTCAAACAGCGTTTAACTGATTTTCTCTATCTTTCCCAGGGACTGGGCAACGAGGTGTACTGTCCGAGCGGGGACCGCTGCCCTCTGGCGAACTCCACAATACCGTGGGCGTTTATGCAGGGCGAGATCACCACCATACTGGGCGAGGAGGTGAAGGTTAAGAAGGAGCGCGAGTCTTAATGTCCGTTTTACTGTAAAAAGCTGCGCAGAGCTTTGGAGCACTTTTGAGAGAATTGTGTGTGTGTGTGTGTGCGTGTGTGATCTCTCTTTCCCTTTATAACTCTCGTTCGCACACTCACTCGCCAAAACTCTCCCTCTCTCCCTCCCTATTGCACACGGTGCCCTCCAGCTGGAGTACACTGTGTGATGTGAGTAGGTGAGGTGAGTGCTTGAGAGGCAACATTTTGTACGTGGCAACCGCAGCCAGTGACTCCGGCGGCGGTGGTAACGTTAGCGGTTAGCGGAGAGCAGTCAGCATTAAAAGCTTTCCCTGTCATTGTCAATGGCGACCGACCGAGCGATCGCTAGACCGACCGATCAATGAACAACAATAATTTTGTAGGAGTAGGCAGCAAAGAAGAACCGCTGGGAGCATGTTCCACCAGATTGTAGGGGAACCCCACAAACAAAACAAAAAAAAGGAATCAAATCAGAGGCGTAAGCAGAAATATAAAATCAAGCCGTAGAACGGGAATAACACCAACCATACCAAGAACCTACGATAAGATGAGGCAATTTTGTAGCATACTTATGGGCGGAAGAAAGGAAATGGAGCTGATAACGGAGAAAAACCCCGAGAAGCGAGTGAAAAACTGAAATATTTCTTATTTAAAACAAGAAAGAAACTCTACAACTTATACACCTAGAAACAGATCATAGATACAGCAAAACAGAAAAATAAACTTGCTTAGATGCAAGTTTCCTTTTTTTTTTAATACACGTAGATCTACATATAAATACTATACGATAACTATAGATTTTGTTATGTAGGCAGGTTCGATCGAGAGCGATTTCAATAATAAGTTTACCTTTAGTTTGTACTAATTACTTAATTTATTTGAATAGACGTTGCCTAATTTACTTTACACCCATACACCCAATGCGGGGTGGGGATAGCACTACTGGAACGAATCCCAGTAATATAAATATATATTTTTGTTTTTTTTTTGTAATATTACTTAAATTGTCTCTTAACAGATATGTACACATACATAGGCTATATGACTTTTTTTTTGTACTCTTAACTAATTTAAAATTATGAAAAGAAAAAAGAAATAACACGTAATGAAGAACGATGAAAAATGAAACCATGGAAACGAGTAGAGCAACTACTATTGCTAAAGAGAACTGTACATACATGCATACCCCATAATCGGAATATAAATATAAAAATACTATATTTAATAATACATACATACAAAAATATTTTCGATGTTGAAACCGGAGAAGAAGCCACCAGAAGCAGGGCCAGAGCCAGAGCCAGAAACAGAATCCGGGGGCGCACGGGTATCTGTCTATCTGGCTACAAAGTCCAAATTTTAACAACATTTTTAAAATATGGGAATGCCGCAAAACAGTTAAACACACAGACGCACATGTATCCATGTTTTCGTCGGATCGGAGATGGAGGTAGTGCACCGCAATTGCAGTGGCATCGCGTCGCTGCTAGAAATCTGGCAACATTGAATGTGCTCCCTTTGGGAATTATTTTGAAGTTTACTGGGGTTTAAGCGCTGGCCAAGCGATCGATTAAGCGAATTTTGTGGCTCTACATTTCTGAGCCGATAACTAAAAACGCACAGGACCAAACACCGAACCCGAACCACATCGGGTAACATTTAGACCCAAAAAAAAAAATAATGGATACAGGGTTAAATGAAATGTGTTTTTTGATCAGGTCTCAGTCCGTGTAAACGGCCTTCGTTTTGTGGGGGACTGTGCAGTCGATCGCGACTGTACTTTTTTGCAGTCAAAACTAAACTAATTTACATGCATTTTAGTACATTACTTAGTACTTACGACTAGCGGTTTTTTACTAGAAAATAGCGAGCAGCGTACAGCGCACAGCAATGGAAGAAATAAGGAAAAAAGAAAACAGCAAGAATGTATACTTACGCCGGGTGAGGAGCCATTCTCTGGAGCACCATGACCTTGTAAAGATACCCGGTAATGGCAATTTCCAGGGGATATCCGTTAATATACAATTTTCGTATGCATATTCATAAATACACAAATATACATACATGTAGTGAGGTATCTGAGGTGAGGTATTTCAGGTGTCCCTGAAAGGTATTTGGATTGAGCTTAGAAACGAGAGCAATTCGGTGGGGAATTTCGCAGACTCGTCTATCAATTCTTTCAGGAATGCCAAGTTAGCTACTTATCTAACGAGGCTGGTTATCATATCCGGTCTCGTTCAGATTGGGCTTAGCCCCATTATGGCAATGAAATAGTAGCTGTTAATCTCTGTGTAACCTTTTCTAGTGGCACGTTTGCTTCGATACCATTCCCCTCCCTTATTTCAGTAAAACCAAGAAACGAAAAAAAACACATTTTGTGATATAGCCTAGCAAGAAAATGATGGAATGAAAGGAATAATAACAGGATAGCAAGAAGCAGTGGACTAAGCAAGAGGGATGTCAATCCTATCGCTCTCCCACTGTTCAAGGGAAAGAGGCATTTCGAGTTAAGGCGAAAGATATATGGTTACTGATGGCAAACACAGATCCCCAATACTATCCGAACTATTTGCGAACAGCGGTCCCAAAAAAAACAAATCTCACATTCGCAATTGACAAAAAAATAGTATATACATATACATACATATGAAAACAGAAAACAATTTGAAGACAATACCCTCTGCTAGGGTATACAAAAGTACATACAAAAATAATAAAATAGGCCAATACCAACGTTTTAGCAATCTATGTTTAAGAATGAAACTAATTGAAACTTTCTTTATAACATCAAATAACAAAACAAACCTAAAAAACACAAAAAAAATTTGAAAAACGTTTACAAACTTGTGCGTGTGTTTGTAATACAGTAGTTCTATATAATATAGATCAGATATCGCCTAATGCATCAACCATATATAAGTACGGTACATATTACAAAAAAACAAAAGAACTAAGAAAGTAAAAAAAAGTAAAAACTATAAAATATATGTATTTGTGTGTTTGATGTCAACTAAATGTTAAAGTCAACTAAAGGTCACGTATGTAATTTTATTGAAAGCCCAACATTTTTTGAAACGAAGCAAACCGAGGCGATTCGATTTAGCATGAGTATCAATCTTTAAAATATACATACATATATACATACATATACATATACATATGCACATAAATAGGGATATACATATGTATGTGGTACGACTTTGGCAAGAGAATATGGATATGGCTGGAGGAATAAACGGCTGAGCTGAGGCTGACGACGACGACGATGATAACAGGCAAAACAATTAAAAATACTATACAAAATCGAAAAAAAAACGATCGAAGATATTTCCTTCCTTTTAAGTTGTTATGCCCCTGGGTGGGCTTCAGTGGAGAATTCAATGGCCCGCAAATTTACTGAAGCGATGAGAGGACTTTTAGGACGACTTCCAAGATTTTATGGCTTCTCCAATGGCGCCCAGAGTTTCAACCTTTGCTCTTTCAGACAACACCTACGTTTGCCTGTTGTTTCCTTTGCATATGTGGCGTGAAAGACGAGTCATAAGAGGTTCGGGTTCGGCGTACAAGGATCCCATGAGGATGGAAAAATGCACAAATAACGGCAGGTTTCGTTATCGATATCAATACTTGGTTTGTACGATAGTTTGGTGATTTTAATTGTTTCGAGCGAGCATCCTGAAATCCGGCTCCGGTGTCCCAGGTCCAGCATCGACGGTGATTCGGATCGATTCGGATAATCTCTGAAGGCCAATATAATGCAAATATTATCCAGTATTACACGTATCAATCCATAACGCTCTTCAGCTGGATGCTGGGCTTCATGGAGCGCTTGTCAGATCCCAGGCACTGACTTGGGTTACAATTTAGCATTATGCACTATTATTTTAATTATTTTAAGTTATGACTTCAGTTAGTTATGTAAGTATTTTAAATAAATTAATTAACGCATGCACCATGTACAGCTTAGTGTTGTATGGACAAAAACTAGTCTATCGATATGAAAATATTGTTGCCAAAAATCATCGGTTTTTGTAATGGTTTCGGTTACGTACCGTGCCGTGTCGTGCCTTGGCGTGCCGTGCCGTTCGTTGCCGTGCCGCGAATCTTGGTTGCAGCCGCTGCTGCTGTAACCTGACGCCGCCAGAGCCACTCTGTTATTTGTGCGTGCGCGTTGCCAATAAACGGGCAGCGGCCTCTGCTCTGCTCCTGTGGCCAAGTGGCGTAGCCGATTTGTGTGATAAAAATGTGAATTTTGATTGCCATTGGACTCTAAAATAATAACTATACAACAAGAAAATCCAAGTGCAACTACAACTCCAGTAAGCTAAGACCATCGGTGTGTGTGGTTGTGTCAACGTGTGTGTGTTCTGGTCCCAAAATGTAGGCAACAAAAACATGAATTGAGGCTGCAAAGCGGAAGAGAAAGCATCTGTGAGCTGTTATCGACTCGCTCTCCCTCTCCCTCTCCCGCTTCCTCTCCCGTGTCGTGGCATGGAATTCCTTTGAAGAGAAATGTGTTTGTGTTATACACAGGACACGGCAACACGAGACACAGCACGGGTGCTCCAGGACAGGAGCCTGACGGGCTACAATGCTCTGTCGCGCCATTGCCGTGCCTTGCCTTGCGCCCACGCACGTCTCGAAGAGCGAACACTTGCTTTCTCTCTCTCGCTATAGCTGTCTCTCTTTTTGCGATGGTTACTCTGGTATGTACAGTGGAACAAGACCGGAAAAAAGGAGTTAGTCGGTTTCTAAAAGGAATGACACAGTTCAAGAGGGGCATAAAATGTTTTAAAAACACTAAAAACTCATATTTTGTTGTAGTTTTTGAGAAATCGTTCTGATACATTGGACTATTATGATAACTTAAACAACTTTGAATGAAGATAGCAATGGCTATACGCTTTGATATTTAAACCTTCTTGGAATTTCTTCCTGTAGTCTGAACTCTGTTTCGTTCCAAAGTGTGCAGGGTAGAAGCCCAATTGTTTTTTTTTTCGTGTGTTCTGGTGAACAGAAATCATGTTGACTCAACGTGCCAGCAGCCCGCCAGCCAGGCGCTAACCACAGAGGAAGTAGGAACCAGAGCAGCAGCAGCAGCAGCAGCAGCATCAGCAACTGCAGGGAGAGGGAGCAGCTGAACCGGGCTGACCATTCTATCCTACTCGTTTCGTTGCATTGCCTGTGTGCTTGTAATATTGCTTATTATTTATGCAAAATTACACAAATATTGTGCGCAATTTCCTAGTCTTCACCGCAAGGTGTGTGCGCGACTGCGGTGTTGCTCTCTCGCTCTCTCTCTCTCTCTCATTTTCTCTCTCTCTCTCTCTCAGTCGCCCCGTTTGGAGTGAGTGGAGAAAAGAGAGTGAATGGGTGACAGATATGCAGAGACTGAGAGGCTTGGTGGCCCAACAATAAATTCCATTCACAAGTGCAACGAGAATAAGAACAACAACAAAGATAATACAATATGAGTGAAACGCGAGTGCTTAACCTAAAAGTGCAAGACAATGGGGTTCTTATGCGGCCT